TTTATTAACATGACACCCTTTGTCCAATGAAGATCTATTCTATTCTAAACATTACAAGTATCCAAAAGTTTGTCAGTAGCGATATAATAGAAGATATGGGAGACAAAATTACCACATCTCCATGTGGCACATCACTGATAAAATCACCGATATAAGTTCATCATTAAAAATTGAATTGAAGAAAAAATCATAAATAGATCAAAATTGTTGAAGAAAAAGGAATCTGTTCTTCCTGAAGAACACATTTTTTAATTTCAACTGATCTTATGTTCCCATCTAATTCTAAAATTGAGAAATCACCTGTGAATCGTTGTTGGTCGATTTGCGCAACATCTTATTGTATACAGTGTGTTTTAGAAATTTGAACGATAAATATAATGCATAATAGAAGACGACAAAACAAGGGTAAAATAACTAAATCGTTGTCAAGTATTTCGAAAAATATTGAATATTTATATAAGTTTGCCTATAACTTGTGAATCATTGATCCGAATCGAACTGAATCCAACTTTTTTCGGCTAGGTCAGACAATGCTCCCTTGATGCAAACTGACGTATATTTGTCATGTTAAGATGACTTCAACGTCAATTTTCATCAAGCGACCCTAGGTTAGACTATAAGTATCAATAACTTGTCAATTTTTCAATGACGCGATTATAAGATATGATTGATCATTTTGCTTGCGATTCATTCTACACATTCTTGTATTTCTCTCTGCTATTCCGGAAACACGCAGTATTTGCCGTTTCTCTCGATGTATGATTTCATCTCGAAAATAAAACCTAAGTTTCCAGAATATACATATCATTATCTCAACTCGCGTTTCCTTCAATAACAAGAAAATCGCACACCAATTACCCCATTAGCTGAGCAATCTCTAGATACGCTTCATATAGGAAGTTCTTCAATTCGTGGGACCATGAAACCCAATATACACATTACACATGCTGCCAGTGCACTGATGTGTCCGTAGGGGCCATGTAGGCCCATTTGTCTTGGTTCACGCCGTAGTGCGGATGTGAAGTTGTGTCGAATTAACAAACTCTTGCAGTGATTGGGACCATTCGTGACCTATTCGAAGAAATCATGAGGCAAACACAGGCAAAGGCTGTTGCGGGGGTGACTTGTCAGGTAAATAGTGAATTTAGTTTTCAGTTCACACACTTCCATCCTTTATTGAGTCCTCGATTGAGTCCCAATGTCACAAGTTGAACTAGAAAATAGATATCCTGGATGATCTAAATAGAGAAGAACAACATTTGGTTCACTCGCTCGCAACAATCAAAAAGAGTAAATAGCAGGATCGTATATTTCATGAAGTAGACACGGGGATTTGACCAAAGTTTCTTTATTGAAGAAACTAGATGACCAAGATCTTATTGAACGACATTTTATTCACTCGCTTGCAATAATTAAAAAGTGAATAGCAGGATAGTAGGTATCCATCACATATAGATACTTGAGGTTATCTGTTCTCTATTGTGTCGAAATAAAAGAACCCTTACAGTGATTGGGACCATTCGTAACCTACATGAAGAAATCATAAGTCAGACACAGGCAAAGGCTGTTACGGGGGTGACTTGTCAGGAAATCCGTGAATTTAGTTTTCAGTCAACACACTACCTTCCTTTATTGAGTCCCAATGCTACAAGTTGAACTAGAAAATAGATATCCATTCGATTCACTCGCCTGTAACAATTAAAAACAGTAAATAGGAGAATCGTATACTTTATGAAGTAGACACTGGGCTCTGACCAATATTTCTTTACTGAAGTTGAACTAGAAACTAGATATCCAGGATCTAGATAAAGAACGACACAATCCTATTCACTCGCTTGCAACAATTGAAAAGTGAAAAGCAGGATAGTAGGTACCTATAAGATAGGTTCTAGCGGCTATCTATTTTCTATTGTGTCAAAATATAAAAACCCCTGTAGTGCTTGGAACCATTCGTGACCTATTCGTAGAAATGATGAGGCAGACACAGGCAAAGGCTGTTGCGGGGGTGACTTGTCAAGTAAACAGTGAATTTAGTTTTCAGTAAACACAAACACACTACCTTTCTTTATTGAGTCCCAATGTCACAAGTTCAACTAGAAAATAGATATCCATGATCTAAATGAAGAACAACAACATTTGATTCACTCGCTTGCAACAATTAAAAGAAGTAAATAACAGGATCGTATATTTTATGAATTAGACACTGGGCTTTGACCAAAGTTTATTTATTGAAGTTGAACTTGTTAGAATCTAGCAACTAGATGCGCTACTGCTCAGTGGAATGTGCTTAGATCAGAGCCTATGACAGACGTGTGTGAAGAATGGCTCATATAGTATTATTTGGCATGCAGCCGAGTTGTGAGCAAGTGTAACCCTTGTCCATGTCATTTGTGCTCGTGTTTATTATATTATGACCATAATATAACAGAACTAGAAACTAGATATCCAGGATCTAGATAGAAAACGACACAATCTTATTCACTCGCTTGCAACAATTGAAAAGTGAAAAGCAGGATAGTAGGTAAAAAAAACCCTTGCAGGGATGGGGACCATTCGTAACCTACATGAACTAGTATAGAAACTAGATATCCAGGATCTGAATTAAGAACGAGAAAATATGATTTACTTCCTTGCAACAATTAATAGTGTGCATACCTGGAAATACCTATGAGATGGATACTAGAGGCTATCTATTTTCTTTTGTGTCAAAATAGCAAACTCTTGCTTGATTGGGACCATTCGTGACCTATTCGAATAGATGATGAGGCAGATACAGGCAAAGGCTGTTGCGGGGGTGATTTGTCAGGTAAACAATGAGTTTAGTATTCAGTCAAGTCAAACATTACTTTTATCACTAATGTTTCCCTATTCAGTCCCCATTATATGACCCAAAAGAAGAACGACAAAATTTGATTCATTTAGCTCGGAACAGTTCAACAGGATAGTGTCTATGGAGTGGATACTGGACTGTCACCAATGTTTTTAAATTGAGTACTGATGACACAAGTTGAACCAGATAGTCTGATTAGAAAATGAATAGCAGGATAATATAGATATGAAGTAGACACTGATGGGCTTTCACGACACGAGAGAACTAGAATCTTGATAGCCATAATGGAGATGATGAACAACCAGATTTTATTAAAATTTTATTCATGTTCCAAAAATTCAAAAGTGAATAGCAGGACGGTATATTTTATGAAACTGATACTGGGCTATCACCAATGTGATTTTATGGGACCCCAATGACAGAAGTTGAACTAGAAACTAGATTAGTCATGATCTAAATAAAGACTGACGAAGTTTGATTCATTTGCTAGCAACAATTCAAAAATGAAAAACAAAATACAGTATCTGTCATAAAGTATAGATACTGGGCTGATGGTTCTTCATTGAATCCCAATGACACAAGTTGAACTAGAAACTAGATGAAGCCATGATCGGAACGAAGAAGAACAGAACGAAAGAACGAGAGAAATTTATTCATTCATTCGCAACAATTCGAAGGTGAATAGCAGGATAGTATTTTTTATGAAGTGGATACTGTGCCATCACCGATTCTTCTGTATCGGGTCTCAGTGACACAAGTTGAACTAGAAATTAGATATTTATTATCTGAATGAAGAACGATGAAATTGCAACAATCAGAAAGTGAATAGCAGGATAGATAGTATATTATGAAATAGTTACTAAGCCGTCACTAATGTTTCTGTATTGGATCCCAATGACACAACTTGAACTAAAAACTAGATAGTCATGATCGAAATGAAGAAAGACAAAATGATTCATTCGTTTTCAATAATCAAAAAGTGAATAGCAGGATAGTATCTAACAAGTAGAGTTCCTGAATGTACTTGACACTGCTGATTTTGAAAAAAAAACGTCAAAACAGCAGTGTCACGTACATTTAGGAACTCTACACTACCAAGTTGACACTGGGCTGGGATAGATCACCAATGATTCTTTATCGAATCCGATATCCTATGAATGACACAAATTAAAATAGATAGCCATGATCAAAACAAAGCATAACCGAATATGCTTGATTAGCTTGTGAGCTATCTCCATCTTTATTAGGTATCAATGACACGAGATAAATTATAAACTTTCGCTTGCACCAATCGAATAGCTGTATAGTGTCTTAATAGATATTTACGATACAAGTATCGTAAAGACTCATATTACGATATGAAATGGATAATCCATCGATTGTGGCACAGAAGAGCAAAAACAATACTTCAATATCCTTCGAAAACAGACCTCTTTGGGAAGTGCATATTACTTCTCAAAAAAACATCTTCATGCCAACATTTTCAAAACATCCCAGGGATGTTTGGGCTCGCTGGGAAATATCTTGAGAACGGCTTGTTGCCTTTCAGAAAACTTTGCACTGCTAGTGTCAAAATTGAATTACCTTCGTAATGCTGCATAACATAATGACCCTTGTTCCCTATTCAAATCATTGAGGGGGGAATAGAGGGTTAAAGTATATGTATTATCTTCCTTGCGTCAAATGGTGTCCCCCTCCAAATAGAAATCGAGGTGTTTCTTTGTTTATTTGTAAAATCATTTTTTTGAGAATTATCGAGGGTGGATAAGTGGGTCACCCGGTATAAATTCCTCAGTAATTCTATAGAACAATGCATCTTAGAAGCAATGTCTGAATTCAATTTGAACTGAGTGGTTAGTTTGAAAAGAAACCGCTCGGACCCGGTAATTTTTATTTTTTGATGTAGTATTTAATTCAAAAAAGCGGGTATGATTGAAACAAACTGTTTAGGTGTTATACCTCAATCAAATCATTCAAACACAATGACTTTGATTGCATTACTATAACAACAATAAACACTAATAACCATTACATAATTTCAATGCTGATGATACATTCACACAGGTATCCAAAGGGGGGACTATGGTCTCGGTGACGTTGATTTGGATCAGGTGAAGTGGGAGGTCGTACTAAACCAAGTACTTGGTTTGATTTCGACCTCATTTAAATTCGGATGCTTTCAATAGTTTTATTGAATTTGCATCGCGAGAAAGAAAGTTACAAGTGGTGTGTCATGGTATACTGAATACCGGTAAAATTGCGTGGACTTTACTTTCATCGTAATAATAAAGAGCTGCTTTCTTACCGAGGTTAGTTTTGTTTTCATATCTTGAATTTTCGTGCACACATTCAAAAAAGATTTCCAATTCACAACAATTCTTCATTATGCAAAGTTAATTGGCTTTGGATTCTCAACTCAACTTCTCCGCTAATCATGCACAACTCTTTAGGTTGGTTGTTTTCATATCTTGAATTTTCGTGAACACATTGAAAAAAGATTTTAAATTCACAACGATTCTCCATTCTGCAAAGTTAAATGGCTTTGAATTCTCAACTCAACTTCTCCGCTAATCATGTACAACTCTTTAGGTTTCACCGCTGGAAGTTATACCCTTAAATTTTATTTTCAATTAAAACACCTCGTGTTTTCTATTTCAATTTTCACCTATGAAATGAAATAGTTGAATAGATCATCACACCATCAAAATTTGTGATGTAAAATGATAATCTTGTTTAAAAAATGCATAATAGAGACTCAATGAACAACCAGATGCGAAATTTAAGGACGTATTCCAATCCACGATAATTTCAAGATTTCAACTTGATTGAACCACTCAAAAAACGATTCTATGAGTTATACATCAGTAGTCGAGAATATCTCCGAAAAATGTAAATAACTATACGTGACTATACATTATATTCATGAAGGAGTTATCTGTAAGAATTATGGGCCTGCGAAAAAAGAATACTGAATATTTTGAGAGAATTTGGAAGGAAATCTCTCATTATATAATTATATATGCTTCAGTAGTCATAGCGAAATCATATTAACTCACTAAATAAAACATTGATGTATTAATAAATAGCTATGGAGAACAATGGTTCGGTAGATTTGAAAAAATAAAAAAAAGTAAATGAAAAAGTGGCGGAGTTAGAGATTTTGGCATATTTCAGAGAGCCTGATTTTCAACAATCATGAGGGAGGTAAAGGAATTATATGCGGAATTCGACTTATATAGTAGATTAGAGTAGTTTATTTGACTATGTTATGTAAATAACATGTCCGACAAGTCATAATTACAATCCATAGTGCTTGAAAATAAAGATAATGTTCACCCGCAATCACTAAAGTGCAGAAATAGGTAGATGAATCAAAATACAAGAATACATGATTAAAAATACACGATAAATATGTCAAAGATGGAACATCAAATGATCTGAATAAAATATATAAAACAAAAAATAAGATAAAAATAAATAAGAACAAAACATAAAAATAACAATGTCCTGTTGAAGGGATTGATAAATGACAAGTTAAAGCTTCAGTGAACTTGCTGACTCTATATAGGTATCAATATATCAAAAACAATGGCTTAAAAGGAACTGTTTCATGACAGATTTGAATTTCTTGAATTCCAACATTTTGACGGAGCTGTGGAGAATATTATAAATATTGAAATTTAAAGAGTTTCTGCAGCTAACAGCTAATCTGTGTCGTGGGGTTCTCAATAAATTAGCCGATCTTGTATTATGACTATGAATGCCAGACTGTTTACCAAATTAACTCACATTTTGGTGTATTTGTTGATGACAGTGATCTCTATAACCTAAGTTTGCCAGTATTCGTATAGCTTTCTTCTGACATCTGAAAACTGCTATAGCATTTGTTGAATTGCCCCAGAGTAAAATACCATATGACAGTACAGAATGAAATAATGAAAAATATGAAATTCTTAAGATACCAAGATTGTTTATACATTTCAATTGTCTTAGTACAAACAGAGCGCTGGATAACTTTCGTACCTACTACATGATCAACATGATTGAACCAACTCAGTCTGTCGTCTATGGTGAGGCCTAGAAATTTAACACTTTTTCCCCCTTGAAAGTTTGAATTCGAGAAAACCAATAAATTCCGAGTTTTGTTTTCATTGAGCTTGAGTTTATTCTGATAGAACCAGTTTTTGGCTGAAATTAGTTCTGTTGATGCAGATGCAATAAGGTCCGTATATGATTTTCCTGAGCATACAAGAGTTGTATCATCGGCAAATAGGACACATTCGGTAGGCGCAATGAACTGACATAAGTCGTTGATGTAAACGATGAATAAAAGTGGTCCAAGGACCGAGCCTTGTGGTACCCCATGTTCTATTAGTTTGTAATCAGACTTAACATCATTCAGTTCCAGACACTGTATCCTGTTGATAGGATTTTCACAAAATATTCAACATGTTTCGCGAAAAAGTGCGAAAATATTCAGGAGGTGATTTCTTGTCATATTTTTGGAGAAAAGTTCATATGAATATTGGGAGTATTAATTGTTTTTTATGATTCATCTCTACAAACTTCCATGAGTGGCAAAACTGTAATTCGGAGTCAAATCAAATATTTATTGTTTCATTGAAAACTAAACGAGATTAAAAAATAATACAAGGAACAAGAAAGTTGTATTTTCAATTGTTCAATCTGATGAAACTATGAAACTCAGAAAAACATTATACCATGTATAAGCATAGAGCAAGTAAGGACAAATGTTCATATGTCTTTTTTTTATATAATATGACATGGAACCACCCCCTACTTTTTTTCGCATTTATTTATTCACACGAACCTGAATAATTAGTATTTCCTGCGAGCAGGATAGCTAATCCTTAACTATTTCGGATAGTAGATAGCACAATATCTACCGGATGAACAACTAAAAACGGCTGTCGGCCATATCTCAGCAACGAATAATGATACAAGTTTGAGATAGAATAAATGTAATGGTATGCATATCATTATACGATGTAATAGAGAAACTGAATCTCAACAGACCAACGAAAACCACAACATGATAGCTTATTTTTGCCAACAGAAGATATTAACTATCAAAGTTTGAAGAATGTTAGATATGACAGTCGTTCTTAGTTGTTCACCCGGTACATGGAAATGAACTTGAGAGGAGTATTTTCAAATATTACCTACTGACAAAACTAATTCAAAATTGTTGAGGTATGTTTCACTCCTTTCTCTACATGTAGAAAACAAAACCAATGACACTTGATCATTTGAAATTAATGAAAATTCAGATTTTACCTAACGATCAACTTGACCTCAACAAATTCACCATTTTTGAATTTGCTTCCCTATCAGGTAATATTTGCAATCACTCATTTCAAGTTAATTAATTTCAAAGTAGACATTGTCGAAACTTCCTGAATGAAGGATTATAGCTGGCTTGCAAACAGATAATTTTGATCCTTAGGTTTGTATCACAATATGAATTAGGCAAGTCGATAAAAGGTTATTTGATTGTACGAGTTATTTTTGAGAATTTCATAAATTTATTTTCTACCGTTCAGAAGGCTACTATTCGATCACGTTGCTTATAGCAAGGGATGACTATCGCAATAATTTTGTTCGGTCCTATTAACTTAATGGAATAAATAAGTTATAACCATTCTGTCAAAAATAAAGCGCCTTATATCTATGGCAAAAGTCACTCAATTTCATTTGAAAGTATGTAGACATGTTTAATCAGTTGTCATGATTGAAAACGAATTAATGTTTTTAATGTTCTTGGAATTTTAGTAATTAACCTCAGATACCATTAACTAAAATCAATTTTTAGTCTTATTAGTTTCTATTATAGAGATTGTGATATCAGATGTTATGGTTAAAACCTTCTTTTTGATCGCCTTGCAAAAAAAGGTGCAGCATCTGCACTTTTTGGTCCTGAGCCTTCTTGTGGTATAAGCAAATGTCACCTAAAGGGAGAACTCAGGAAATGTGAAGAAATTGAAAAGTCCTCCTACTGGAGAGCAACTCCAGGTCAACGACAAGCGAAAAGGTTCATCAATACCATTCGCAGAACCGAGCCAAAGAGCTACTCAGCCTCAGCAAACCAGAGCTAAAGCTTATCACAGGCTTTCCTCAGAGGACACGGCCCTCTGAGGTACCACCTCAAAAAGATGGGCCTGGCGGAGACTGACATTTGCCGCTTTTGTAACAATGCGACCGAAACCGCGGAACACATACTTCGCTCATGTGAAGTATTAGTTCGCCAAAGGCTGAACCACCTAGAACAGGTCTATCTCACCCCTGCTGAAGTGGAAAATTCAACCGTCAGGAAAATCGTAGGCTTCATCAGAAGTCTAGGGTTAGAGGACCAAAACTAGATAGGGGTAATCACAATAGATCTTCTAGGTCGCAGTGATCGAGAGGTCTCCCAGCCTATACGACCCATCTACAATCTACAATCTATGGTTGAAAATGAATGGATGTTCCTAATGTTCCTGAAATTTTAGTAATAAACTTTAGTAATTTACAAGTAAAGTCAACTTCTACAGTAAAAATATAATGTGCTATATTCAACTAAACTCAACGGAAATATATTTTTTCAAGTTTTATTTCAGTTTAAAACTATGGAGACATTCAGATAAAAAATTTGTTATTTAATGTTCCTCACATTCCAGTAATAAAATCGACTTATACCTAAATACTGTCTGTAGGTTAATCGAGGAGGTGGTACATTCATAATTCCAAATTTTTTGGGATTTTCTCTCCTCGTTTCTACAAAATGAAAATATGAATATTATTTCAATATACATGTAGTGAGGACAAATCAGATGATTTGCCCCAAAATGTCACTGCGTTTAAAGAATTCTCCTATCAGAGAGCCTAAAAGAAAAATTCACTATAGCTTGTCAGTGACAATTTGTATTGAAAAAAGTTTGGAGAAGAGAAATGAAGGTATATGAAAAGAATATCAAATGTTCACTTATCTTTGGACGTTTCAACATAAGAAATGATTATTTTAATAGCAAAGTCGTATCTGTCTTGAAGCTTTTCAGTAACTCATCTGATTTCCAACGTCACCAATTGTCAATGAAAACTCGGATTCGGAATCAGGACGTCCAATTCCCTAACTTTTCATATTTTTCTTGAAAACAAATTCAGTTCTGAACCCTAACTATTCATATTTTTCTTGAAAACAAATTCAGTTCTGAAAATTCCATTTTTGTCTCACTTTTCATGGAAACACTCCCGTATTTTACCTAATTATCAAGTTAGGATTGTTAAATTTCCAGGATAGAAAAATATTCCA